GCTGCCACCAGTCCCCTGCTGCCTGGTCCTGGGGGGTGGTGAGGGCTTCCCCCCGAGTCGGGATGGGCACAGCTGAGCGATGCTTTTCCCACCTGCAGCTCCTAGTGCCTCCTCTGTAGAATTTAAAGGGGTCTGGGTGGTGCTGCACCCTCAGCTCTGGGTTCAGGGCAGAGCTTTTATGTACCCTTTTTATACCCTGCTGGAAACCTTTTTTAAACTCAGCTCTCAGGCTTTCTTACCCCAGGCTTCCTCCACTGCTGCTCTGCTCTCACCAGGCTCTCTGAGACCCTGTCACCCTTCACCTCAGGGACCAAACCCCTTCTTATGCCTGTCCCACGTGGAGACACGGTGGAGGAGGGTGACAGAGGGTGACATTGGGACACACTGCTGCTGCAGGCTGGTCAGCAATTCCCTGGAGCGCCCCAGACATCCACCCAAGGCTGGGAGCCCCTTTGACTCTGCCAAACCATGCCCACTAACCACAGGGCAGGGCAACTTCAACCAGCTGCAGCCTTCAGATGAATGAAAACCCAAGACAGGTTCATCCCTGCCAGGAAATTCCTAGGATATTGGGACATGACGTATAAAAACCAGCAGTGGCCTGAGGAAGCCAGCAACTGCTGGATGGCCCTGGCAGCTGCAGGGCTACCTACTTTCCTCCACTGTTGTTTGGAGGCATCATCTGGCTCTTCCCTCTTCTCCTCCTTCCTCCAAATTGCTTTTTCAGATGACTTTGTGACTGCAAGATCCATTCAAAGTTGTCTTTGTCCCTTCCAAAGGTTTTCCGAGATACCTGAATTCCTCTGTTGCAGCTGATCCTGTTTAACATTTATTCAAGAATTCATTTAGTCCCACAGTAATCAGCTGCAATAGAAAGCAGATGTCTCCAGAGTTCTTTTCCCCATTCCCAGTGCTGCTCAGGGTCCTGCTGTCCTTCATTACTAAAAAAAACCCTCATGCTGCACTCCAGATAGAGAACCTGGTGCTTGCAGTCACCCAGCACCTTGGGGCCACCATGTCTGATACTGGCATTGGGCTTGCCCAGAGGGGTTTGTACAGCCCCAGCTGCAGCTCCTGCCCCAGGTCTCTGACAAGCATCCTTTCCCTCTTTTTATGATCCACTTCCCTCTGGCGAGCCAGGAATTTTAAGCCTTCTCACTGGACATGTTTTAGACATATGGAAATTCCTCTTTAACAGAGATCTTTCTCAGGCTCCAAGGATTTCGGGTTGGCTTTTGCACAATATTCTTTCTAGGGGAGTCGAGTGGAGAGGTTTTTTATATTTTTGATTCTTTGCTTTGGGGATTATTTGGTAGAAATGGACTAAAGTCCATGGGCCCAGTGGTGGGAGCCAGGATTTGGGCTGCCCCTCCCTGTGCCCCTCCAGGCTGGTGAGTCGCATCCTCCTGCCCGAGCCGCTGCCCTCCCCGGCCTGCCTCAAACATTCCCCAGAGTTTTCAGATGAAAGACCAGAGGCATTCACAGCTATGTGTATTCCCTCGCTCTGGATATCGCCGTAATGAGTTTACTTCGCCCTCAGCCATCTCCAGCCCCCAAATTCCCTGTGCTGGTTCCAGCATCGCTTGCTCCCTCTCCTGGCATGTGCTGGGGGAACCCGGGCTTAATGCAACCTTCAAGTAGCTCTTCCAAACCATAGAGATGCTTTATTTATTTCACTTTCTAAATGATATTGCATTTGAATTAATTTTTATGCTGGTTTGTTGTGTTTTGTTTTGTTTTTTTTCTCTCTGAGAGATTAAGAAGCCATTCCTACTAATCTGAAGTGACTCACCCCTCACAGACGTGCTGCGCTCTGATCCGCAGGGGAGAAATCTGGTGTTAGGTGGCATTTCTCCCAGGCAAAGGCTGGGATCCACGCACAAAACACTGGCAAAATAACCCTACAATGCCAGTTTGAACGAAGAGAAAATCAGATGAAAAAAAATTCATTTCAATCTGGCTTTTCATGGGTATAGCTGAGTTTGGTACTGGTTTAAGTAAATTGGTTTACAGAAAATAATTAGCATCGGGCAATTTCCTTTTGGGAACCAGCTTTTATCTTGGCAGAGACTAAAGTGCTTTTTCTTCTTGGTGACCTTTGCTTTGCTGACTTCTTTGGGAGCATCTTCTGGTGATAAATGGAAAGTGATGCTGTGTTCAAAGAGGAGGTTGTTGCCAAGGGAGCTGTTAGTCCCCGTCTGTTTATAACTGCGAGACGGGAGCCCGGGTTGAAAGATGGCAGTTGATGGTGGAAAGCACTGAAGCAATATTGGAGCACTAAAGCACTTCAGCTGCTGCTGGAAAGGAAAATTCCTGTTATGACAAAGGCTGAAAGGGAGCATTAATCCTTAAAAAAAAAAAATAGAATGGGGGGGGGGGGGGGGGTCTGGAATCAAGCCAGCGTGTGAGATTTCCAGTAACCTGAGGTGGAGAGGTGTGTGTGTCTCTGCTATTTGCAATGAAAATGGGCTGGAACCCTTAAATACTGCATTTTCCAGCTTATTTTCAGTCAGGCAAATAGGTCAGGTTTTCTGTGGTTTCTATGGAAATGCAATGATTTGGGGCACTTTTGGGCATCGCTGTCACAGAGCAGCCTCCGTGTGGCTTTTCCAGCAGCATCCCTGGCTCGTGTGTCCCCAACCTGCCCAGTGGGGACCACAGTGTCACCATCCTTGGGGTCTGTCTGACTCCTGAGGAGTCTCTGCTTCCTGCCTTGTGGTCCTGAATTTAAACTGCAGTGCTCCAGCTAAAGGTGTTAATAGGGAAGGCTGAGACAGAGGCAACAGACTACACCCCATGGCCTTTGAAAAGGGGACTGGGATGGGGACTGGGCCATGGAAAGTTCTGGTTTTCCTTTCTTTTCTTTTTGTTGCTTCTGTGTTGATTTCCATGCTACACCTGATGGGAGGGCACCTGCATTTCATCAGGTCAGGCAGCTCCACCAGTGCCTTCTTGCAGGTGTTTAGGATTTAGGCAGAGGCACAGGTGAAGGGCTTTAATAACCTCCCAGCTTCCCTGCTTGCTGTTTGTCTGTGAGGCAAACCTGGAAAGCAAGAAGTCTCCAGGCAATGTGAGGGGTTGGAAAGCCTATGTTTTGGGGGTGACCAAAATGTGGTCCTTTAGCTCCCCATCTGGCAGACACCTTTGTGAATACAGGTTGGGAAGGTTTTTGCAGAGCAGTCTGTCCACAACCCCAGGTTGCTACGGGCCCTGCCTGCTGTGTGTGCTGGGTTCATTAGCAGGCCTGGCCATGATTTGGAGAAGTTCAGCTTGTGATGAAGAGCTGCAGGAGAGCTGTCAGGTAGCAACGGTTTTATAGCAGCAGTGTTATATTTGGGTCACATTTTGACTTTTCAGCCTTTGTTTCTGAAGCTTTTTCTTCTGGCCTTTGTCTTGTGATGGTGGCATCCAGCGCTGATGGGCTCTTAGTGGTGGATTTCAGCACAACGCCTTTGCCGGGCTGTGCCTTGCAGGTTGGCTTTGGGAGGAGTTTGCCTCGGCTTCTCCTGTCCCTCGAGGGGTTTGCCCGCCGGGTGGGGGACAGGTCTGCCTCCGTGTCCCATTCCTCTGGGGACAGCGTGCTGGCAGCCTCGGGGCGCTGGTGGCTGCAGGAGTGGGGTGCACCCTGTGAAGGGGGGGAACCCCCCTTTAGCACCGGCAGCACGGCTCCCTGTCTCCATGGGAACCGGCAGCAGGAGCATCCCGTGGTCTGGCCAGAGAGGAGGTGGCTGCCACCTTCCCTGGGCTCTGCTGGCCAGCCAGCTCTGGTCTCCTGGGGACAAGGTCTGCTGCAGGCTCTGAGCACACATGTGCATGGGTGCAGGGGGACCCACACCTCGCCCTGCTTCATCCCTCCAAATCCAGGCCCCTCAGCCACAGCCCATGGGCACATTCTCTATGATTACATTAGCTCAGGGACACAAAAATGGCTGCTTTTATCTTTTGAGAGCCCAGAAAGAAGTGAAGGTTCCTTCTGCCCTGGTCACTTGTCAGCAGGGACCTCAGCATTCTTCTGTCTCTGTGCCTCAGTACCCCCAGGCAGTGACACAAGATCCTCATGCCACCCCTTTTTGTTGCCTGGTCCTGCCCAGGGGATACCTGTGATGGGATCTCACCCAGCAGCTGCTGGCTGAGGCTTTCAGTTTTGATAACTGCAGGTGGGATGGGAGACAGCAGGGATGCCTTCCCCACTCTCCCAAGCTCAGGATGTTGGGGAAGTTCAGGTAGACCAAACATCTCACTGCAGACCTGATGTAAACACACAAAAACACTAAGGAGCCCTCCAGCTGCATCACCCCAACCTATATATGTAGGACTTGCATCTCTCTCTTGCAGAGCTGAGGCAGGTGAGACGAAAGGGAATGGGTTAATCCTCTCCCTGCTGAAGAGCTGCCTGTGCCTCCCTGATCCAGGGCAGATTAGGGAACCTGGAAGGAGCTCTCTCAGCAGGGACAACTGGGAGCAAGTCACTGAATCCTCACAGTGCAGGGTTTTGGCAGTTGGAAAAGCTTGAAAAGCACATGGGTCATTTAATGGCAGCTTAGTGCCTGGTATGGCAGGGGCACCTGGGGCTGGGTGTCACACTCTCTGGCATGTCAGTGGTGGTTGTTCCCCTGCTGTCCTCATGCCCATGCTCTACAGGAGATCAGGAAAGATTATCTCAGCCCCTTGAAAAGATTTCTTGGGAGAATGGGGTTGCAGGATGAAACTTGTCTTCCCAGGGTGAACCAGGGCCATCCTGCCTCTCCCTGGGGAGCTCTGGCCATGTGGGATAGCATCTACCCCCTGTCCTTGCTCAGCAGCAGAGCAAGGTATCAGCTGGAGTGGTGCACAGAGAGCTGCTGGGACTGGGTGTCCCCAGGGAAGTGTCAGTGCTGTGACTTGGGGTCACAAATTCACTCCAATATCTTGGTGGGTCCACCCCTCTCTCTCCCACTCTTCATCCCCTGATTTTATTCCCTCCCTGCTGCCCCTCTCCCATCCCCTGCTCTCTCACTCAGCCGGTGACGCCAGAGCTCCTGGTGAGCCCCAGCAGCCAGGACGGGGACCTGGGCTCTGAGTGCCCAGAAGATAGAGGGAACTGGACGGGGCGACTGGATTTCCTCCTCTCCTGCATTGGATACTGCGTGGGCCTTGGAAACGTCTGGAGGTTCCCCTACAGGGCTTACACCAATGGAGGAGGTACCTGGGCAACCTTTGGAGTGGCCACATCTGCCCCTCAGTGAGCTGGAGTGGTGGGATGTGTCTCTGAAGAGATGCCTCTTCCCTTTCTTGGTGCTGGAAAGTAGCATTTGTTGTTGTGGGATGAAGCCTCCTGCTCCCCATGCTTGTTGTAGGGCATAAACCACCTGTACCCATGTGTGGAAGGGACTCATCAGCCCACCTCTGCACTCATGGCTTTGGAGATAAACCCAGCTCCTTGCTGGACTGAAGTGTTCAAGGCCAGGTTGGATGGAGCTTTGAGCAACCTGGTCTAGTGGGAGGTGTCCCTGCCCAAGGCAGGGGGCTTAGAACCTGATCATCTTTAAGAACTCTTCCAACCCAAATCCTTAGGTGATTCTATGAACACCACCTGAGCACCCTTCTTCGTTTCCAGTACCTTCTTAGCCTGGTGTCCCCCAGGACTCATCAAGGTCAGCAGATGCTTCCCAGATATGGAAGGAGGAGGGCTGTATTCCAGATTTGGTGTAGACTCCTCAAGGCTACAGATGTTGATTGAACTTTATTCCTTGTCATAGATGGGCTTTAGTTATTTGCTCTGTGTCATTTTTAGGGCTTTTTCTTGCTTCTTGCAGGAGCTTTCTTGGTCCCTTACTTCATCATGCTGGCTATCTGTGGGATCCCCATCTTCTTCATGGAGCTGTCGCTCGGCCAGTTCTCCAGCCTGGGGCCACTTGCTGTCTGGAAGATAAGCCCTCTCTTTAAAGGTGCGTGAGTGAAGTCCAAAGCCTCTGCAGGGCCTCTGGAGGAGCTGTTTGATGAGGACATGGACCAGCAGCAGCGTCCTGTGATCCTCACAGCTCTTGTTAGAACCAAAGGTTAAATCCTGGGGGAAGGTGGAGCAGGCTGGACTTCTGGTTTAGCTCTTTTAGTAGCTGCAAGATATGTATGAGACCTGTCAGTCTTTGGAGGCTCTGGATGTCATGACCAGCTCTAGAAATTTTATGAAAATTATTGAACCAGCTAGTGTACAAAACACAGCACCAAAGCCAAGCACTGGCTGTTAAAGACAAAGGTAAGAATAAAACATCAAACAAATACTTCTACTCTCAACATTAAGTTGGAGTAAGAACACCCGTGTGGTGATCAATTCAGAGAAGGCATGTTCAGAGGGTGTAATGGCAATAAGAGGCTCCTCTCTAAGGTGAACCTCTGACTAGTTAAACTTTTGGCTGCTGAGATCCAGTGCCTGACCCTGGTTTTGGATGTTTTCCTCTCCAGAGAGATGGCTCATTCCTTCTTTACCCTCTCCTTCCTCCAGGCGTTGGCATGGGCACCATCCTCATCGTCTCCCTGGTGGCCATTTACTACAATATGATCATTGCTTACGTTCTCTTCTACCTCTTTGCATCCCTCACAAGCGACTTGCCCTGGCAGCACTGTGGCAACTGGTGGAACACTGACCTGTGCCTGGACCACCACGTCATCAAGGCGGGGAACACCACCTTCCCCGTCAACATCACCAACACCGTCAGCCCCAGCGAGGAGTACTGGAGGTAAAGAGGTCAGCCCAACCCAGCCAGGGGGAAATGGTTGGCATGCAAACAAGGAGAGGATGGGACGGGATGGGGGATGAAGGTCTGTGCACATCTCATGGCATGGTGGCTCCTCATTGTGGGCATTATGGGTGCAGTGATGGGCTACCATGGCCAGCTGTTGGCGATGTCTCAGTTTAGCCATGGGGATCGTGTCCATGGGATGTGGGAGGTGTCCGTGATCTGGAGATATGTTACACTGAAGTGCATCCCATGGCTGGAGCCTCTGGGAATTTGCTCTCAAGCTGCAGCTATCCCCTCTGGGCTCTTCAGTGCATGGTGGAGAAATCACACCAACTGCTCCCCTTGCCCCAGCAAATTCCTGCCAGAGCCTCATTGTTCTCTCATGGCTTGGTTTTCTGACAAGGTGGCTTTTTGCAGCAGAGGCATTGCTGGGCTTAGAGAGGGCCTCTGGAAGGAGACAAGGGGTTGTCTGAGGCCCTTCACTAGTGGTTCTCCTTTCTCCCTAGCCGGTACGTCCTGCACATCCAAGGGAGCTCTGGGATTGGGGATCCCGGGAGGATCCGCTGGAACTTGTGTCTGTGCCTGCTCCTTTCTTGGACTATTGTCTACCTGTGCATCCTAAAGGGAGTCAAATCCTCTGGCAAGGTAAGGGCTGGACAGTCTCTTTTGTGGGATCTACAGCAATGCTCACCAGTGCCTGCGACTCTCTGAACACCTGGGAGGGTGAGACCCACAAACAGCATCAGCTGGACATGGGCCACTCTGGCGTGGCTTCTACACCCAGACACCCACAGGGCTGACACCACAGTCCTGCTGCATCCCAAGGACCCCTGCTCTGCAGGGGGATGCCAGGCAATGTGGTGTCCCATCCCAGGGATGTGGCGGGGGGGGAATGGTTCCTGGCTCTCCCAGCTGGCTCTGCCCTCCTGCAGGTCGTTTACTTCACTGCCACCTTCCCGTACCTCATCCTGGTGATGCTGCTCATTCGTGGAGTGACCCTGGAGGGGGCCTGGAAGGGGATCCAGTTTTACCTCACACCCCAGTTTGATCACTTGCTGTCTTCCAAGGTGAGCCACATCTCATCCTCTCTGTTACCCTGGGGACCAGGACTGTGGGCAGGATTAGCCCAGCCCCTGTGACAGGCTGTGGGTGGCAGTGGGTGCCCATGGTAGGTTTGGCTGTTGTGTTTTCCTTGGTGTGTGGAGCGAGGAGGTTCCCTGGGTCAGCAGTGTTGGTGGCAGAGACCACCCAGTTTTATAAAAGTGTTTAATGCCTCACTGGGCTGGCTCTGAAACACTCTCAGTAGCCCTTCTCTTACCCAAGTGACCCACTGCAAAGAGGGATGTTAGCAAAGAAAGGCAAAGACCCTTGGAGCTTTGTGTGCCTGGAGAAGATGTGCCAGGGGCTCTGGGGAAGCATATTTCCAACTCCCTTTTCTTCAGGAGGACATTTCCAAACCCCTGCTCTCCTCGGACCTGTTTTCTTCCCCCAGGTATGGATTGAGGCAGCCTTGCAGATTTTCTACTCCCTTGGGGTAGGCTTTGGGGGCCTCCTCACCTTCGCTTCATACAACACCTTCCATCAGAATATCTACAGGTGGGAACCAGCCACTGCTTCACAAAAGTCATGGGCTGAGGGGAGATGGTAAAACTGGTGGGTTCAAATCTAGCAGAAGCACACAGTGCTCCTTGCCCGAGCACCTTGCAGGTACCTGGACACTTGCACAGGCTTGAGAGGGACAGAGGGATCTGTGGAAAAAAATTCTCCTAAGCATGAAGACACGGTGCCTGGCTCAGAAGTTTTGGGTTTCGGGTGCTGAAGGCTGAGGATCCTTGAGACTAGCTATGTGTGTTTGTCCTGTCTACAGCATCCTTTGCAGGTGACCAGCAGAGAGGGGAGTCTGGGTATGGGACATTTGGGCTGATCCCCTCCACTGGGGAAAGTAAGCTTGGGAGGAACCCTAGAATAACCCACGTCACTTACACCTGTAAAGTACAAACCAAGAGATTTCTCTGGAGGAGAATCACACTGGGTCACCTTACAGTAGCACCCAGGGTTGGCAACACCACCATGTTCTGCTGTGGGGTGGGGAGGACTGGGCATGTTCAGAGCATCTTTTTTCTCTGTAGGGACACCTTCATAGTGACCCTGGGCAATGCCATCACCAGCATCCTGGCAGGATTTGCCATCTTCTCTGTTTTGGGATATATGTCTCAGGAGCTTGGAGTCCCTGTTAATCAGGTGGCAAAAGCAGGTGAGGTCAAGTGAAGACCCTGTCTCCTTCACTCACTGCCTGGGTGCCCTGAGGAGCATCCCTTCCAGACAGAAGACATCTGAGGGTGTCATTGTAAGGGATGAAGATGTACACTCAGCTGACTGGGGGGAGCCTGGTTCCTGCCCTGCAACCAGTGAGCAGAACCAACACAAAAGTCTGAGCAAGGAGCAGGCTGGTTTGCCTCCACCTCCCCACCCTCCTGTCCCTGCTGTGGTCCCACTCTTCTGGTCTCTCCTCTCCTCCATCCCCCTGTGCCTAGTGCTGTCACCCCCTTTTCACCCTGTCCTTTGCCTCTCCTAGGTCCTGGCCTGGCTTTTGTGGTGTACCCCCAGGCCATGACAATGCTCCCCCTTTCTCCATTCTGGTCTTTCCTGTTCTTCTTCATGCTGTTAACCTTGGGGTTGGACAGCCAGGTGAGGACAGAGCCCACTGAGCCCACCACAGTGCCCACCACAGCACCCAGGCAGCCTGGGGGGCTCAGGGGAACCACTTCTCCTTCGTGTACAGTTTGCCTTTATGGAGACCATCGTTACTGCAGTGACAGATGAATTTCCCTACTACCTGCGGCCAAAGAAAGCTTCTTTCTCAGCTGTCATCTGCATTGCCCTCTTCCTGATGGGGCTCATCCTCACCACAGAGGTAAGGGTGTGGGGCTGGATGTGTCCTGGGGACCAATTTTTTTAGAGACTGCTTAAGGCAGGGGCCAAGTTTGTAGAGACACGTGTTCACATCAGTTAATAAGGTAGAAGAGAGAGGATCAACGAGCCTGGGCTTCATGAGGCTGTGAGGTCCAAGGGGAGTGACGCAGCATTATTGCTGTCCCTGCAGCAACCCCAGAAGCCCACTGATGTCTCCTGAGCTTGCCTGACCTCTGTCTTCCCCAGTGCCCACAAAGGGGCTAAGGGGCAGTGTCTCCCAGGGTAGGAGGACATGGTGGGGGGTTTATTGGGATGATGGTCCCAGAGGTGCTGGCCACTGTGCTTTGCTTCCACAGGGTGGGATGTACTGGTTGGTCCTACTGGATGACTACAGCGCTGGCTTTGGTCTCATGGTAGTGGTGATCACCACCTGCCTTGTGGTGACACGTGTCTATGGTAAGCGGGTCTGTCCCCACAGGGTCGGGGAAGGGTGGGCTCACTCTGTATGACAGGGGAGCCAGCAGCCATGGGATGCCTCTGCTCCAACCAGTTGTTTCTTCTTGCCATCGCTGGATTCACCTCTCCAGAGATATTTGGGGTGCTGAGCCTGGTCCCTCAGACAGCGCCAGCTGGGCCCCCTTTCCTGCATCTCCCAGCTGGGAGGGGAGAGACTTCTTTGCTGTAGAGAATGCAAACCACTGCTTTTGGTCAGGGCAGGGCACCCTGGTACAGACACCTGGCTCTGGGGCAGTGATCATGGCTTCTGAGTCCCTCTCCCTTCTCCAGGCATAAAGAGGTTCTGCCGAGATGTCCACATGATGCTGGGCTTCAAACCAGGGCCCTACTTCAGATCCTGCTGGATGGTCCTGTCCCCGGCAACGATGATGGTAACTGCTCAGCTTGAGGTGCTGGAGATCTGCAGTGGTGCCAGCATCCCTGGCTCACTGCCCCTTGTGACAAGTCACCCTGCTGGCATCTCCAGCTGGTGTCTGCCCACCCCAGGGACCATCCTGGTTCTGCTGGCAGTTCTCTATCATCTCTAGGCCCTTTTTGAGCATGAGACCTTCAGAGACCTCTGGTCTGTCCCTCTCCCTTTCTTCCTGTCCCATAGGCTCTGCTGGTCTACAACATCATCAAGTACCAGCCCTCTGAGTACGGCAGTTACCGCTTCCCTGCCTGGGCCGAGGTCTTGGGCATCCTCATGGGAGTCCTGTCCTGCCTGATGATTCCCATGGGCATGGTGGTGGCTGTGCTGCGGGAAGAAGGGACACTGTGGGAGGTAGGAGTACTGCTGGGGAGCACCCCAGAAGTGTGGGGGGGTGATCATGAGCCCCTGGGGAGCCTGTATCCTCCTTCAATTTCTGCATCCTCTCTCCTGGAGGTGTGTCCCTGTCCCTCCTTGCTGCCCATGTGGTGTGAAAGTCCTGGGTCGTTTCCATCCAGGCAGGCACTGAGTCAGGCTGCTTCCCAGGGGCAGCCTTGTGGGCATCCCTCCTCAAACAGGCCTGCCCTGCCTTGCCCCATGTGGAAGAACCTCCTCTCTGGCATGAGATGAGCACGGGCATGTGGCACTTTGCACCCATTTTGCAGGAGAAATAACATAGCAAGGTGGGCAGCAGGCAGGCTGTGCAGGCAGCCCCAGGCAGCGTACAGGGTATCTCTCCATTGGAAGGCTTCCCCAGGAGCAGGTGATGGAGCTGCAGGCAGCTCACAGCTTGGGCTGTGAAACACAGCTGGGCTGGGCTGCTCTCCCCAGGCTGCTAAAAGCTGGCAGCACATCTTGCTGTGCTCCTGGCTGGAGCACTTACTGCCTGCAACCCAGCTTGATGCAGCCATGGGCACAGTGGCATGGCCAGGAACCTCCTTGGCTCAGGGTAGTCCCTCTCCTGGGTGACTCTACCCCCACACCACAGCAATAGCCTGTCATTAGCCATTGCTAATGGCCCTGCAATAGCCCCTGGCTCCTCTCAGCACCAGCACCCACCACCCATCACACTGCCCCAGTAGGGCACTTGAACAGAGCTGCCTTCCCACCAACCTTCGGGACAAGCTTTTGGCTCCATCCTCATGGGGGGGCCTGCCAGGGCTGGCAGAGCTCTCTGCTCCCTGGGAGCAGGGGGTGAGCTGCTGGGTGGGGGAGCAGGGTGCCTGTGCTGCCTCTGCCTGTCTCCCAGCAGCGAGTGCAGCAAGCCAGCCGGCCTGCCATGGACTGGGGCCCCTCTCTGGAGGAGAACCGGACCGGCATGTACGTGACCAGCCTGGCTGGCAGCCAGTCCCCCAAACCACTGATGGTCCACATGAGGAAATATGGGGGAATCACCAGCTACGAGAACACGGCCATCGAGGTGGACAGGGAGATGGAGGAAGAGGAGGAAGAGGAGTCCATGATGTGAGGGGACCGAGTGCCCCGTGGGCTGAGGTGGGGGGCCTCACCCCTCCCCCCTAATTTGCACAGATTGCACTGCAGCACATCAGGATGGGTTGGGGTGGGTCGTGTCCAGCCTCTTCACCACCACCCTGACCCCACCAGGATGGAGCTGCTGCCTGTTCTGGTGCTCCCGAGGTGTTTCTGTTCAGTGTGGCAAGCTGTGTGACAAGTCCATGCGTTTGTGTGACAGTGTCTGGTGCAAGTATCCAGGCTGCCCCAATCCCACCCTCGGTCCCAGCCCTGCCCTCCCCATGCAGGGGTGCTCGGGTTGCTGGGATGATTTGGGCTGTGGGGATGCTCAGGCAACAAGAGTTGAGGAGGAGAAGGACCTCTGTGTTAGTCTGTTCTCTGCTCATGTGTATTTAACTCCAATAATCCACAAACACATGTGAGAAAAGACTGTAATTATCCTCCTAAACAGTCACAAAATCCCAAACCCAGCTGTACTTTTGAAAGGGAAGCACAGCTTTCCATAATCACCATAACTCCTCATATTACTTCAGTGGACTCATCAGCAACAAAATAAGAAGGGGGGAAAAAAAACCCCAGTGTTTTAAAAAAAAACAGCTTGGGCCTTTCCAAGCTTGTAGATTCCCCAGGGACCTCTGTGTGTCAGGGCAACTCTTCCCTGTGGTGCCTGGCAGGGCTGGGGCGAGAGCTGAAGGAAGGGAAGGGGCTGGGTGACCTTCTCCCCACGTGTGCAGGAGCCCAGGGTCGGGTGTCAGCTGGACCTAGTGCTACAGGAGGACCCGTGTACATCCCCGAATGGGATCTGAGGGCTGTTCCTAGCCCTGGGTGCTGCTTTTCCCAGGAAAAGATGAAGGGCTGGGTTTCAATCCCGTGTGTGATTATGGGGTAGCTTAGCCTAGGGCCCATGTCCCAGAGACCCCATCTCCTGCTGATGGTGCTGGCCTGGCTGGGGGCAGTGAGCTCCTGGGCAGGGCTGTTTGGAAACAATGCTGCCAGTCCCCATCACCCCGGTGTCGTGTGTGCCTTTCCCCATGTACTTAGCATTAAAAAGCAGTGTGTGACACAGCCTTGGCATGGCTTATTTGGGGGGGTCCTCAGCATGTAATAAGGGTATGTCTAGGGGAGCTTTCAGGGGTGGAGGACGTAGCCCCCCTGGGCTTTGTTCTGCAAATCTCTGTCCTGGTCAGATAAAAGCCAAAAACCCAGGATAAACAAAAAAAATAATAAAAAATGAAGGCTCATGTCTGGATGATGCATGTGGCACTGCTGCACTGGAGCTGTTAACCCCGTGTGCCACACAGCCTTGGGTCCAGCCCTGTGGGCTGAGCCCCCAGGGTGGGTCTTGGCACAAGGCTTTGGTTTTCCTTAACAACACTTCCCTGCAAGGAGGTTTAATTATTGCCTTTGCCCCTTGGAGGGCACGTAGAACCACCTCTGACATCATCTCCTCCTGCCTGCCTGCCTCCCCATGCCTGGGGATGCTGAGCTCCTTCCCCAGCCAGCTCTGCCCTTCCCTTTCTCTGCAGGACCACCGATGGCTTTCCATGTCCTTCTCACCATGCTCCACCCTGCCTGCAGCCCCCGGGGACCACAGGAATCCCCCAGAACCAGCTTTCTTGGCCATGTGGGGCTCTGGCAGCACGACCACACCGCACAGCACCTTCGGCTGCTGTCCCCAGAGTTAATCATTAGAGGCTGGCCATAAAAGTGTCGCTGATGGAAAGTCCAGGCTGTGGTGGCTGGGGAGCGGGGAGGGCCTGTCATAAACATTTATGGCCCCAATGAATCCCTCGCTCTAACCTTGACACTATTTACCGAGCAGGAGGCCTCAGGAGGTCACGGCGCTGCCCGGCCATCGCTGCGGGTGCTGGTTGGGGAGCCCGGGCTGGGCTGGCCCCGGGGGGACACACACGGGGGTCTGGCAGGGGTGATGGAGCGGGTGATGGACACGGGTGGTTCCTGGTGTCACCGGTGCCCACGATGCACCAGAGCGACCAGGAGAGCCTGACGTCTTCCCACAGCGCGGACAGGGAGGCTCTGGGGCTGAGCAAGCAGGATTGGTCTCTGACCTTCTCCTACCTGCACAGGGTCCTGCCGCGTTCCCCAGACCCCCCCTGTAACCCCTCAGGGCAGCTGCAGGCAATACCGGCCCGGCAGGAGCGGTCTGGTGCTGACACCTGCTGGGGACAAGGCAGGGGACGAGGCGGAGGGGCGGGCGGGACCCCCGGGCTGCAGCGGGACCCCCGGGCTGCGGCGGGACCCCCGGGCTGTGCGGGCAGGGACTGCGGCTGTCGCAGCCCGTCCCCAGCCCTGCCGAGGGGCAGGTAAAGCCAAGCAGGTGCCCCCGGGAGCACGCAAATCTATCCCGGGCTCAGCGGAGATGGGTGGGGAGGTTTCTGTGCCCCACACCCTGCAGCACCAGCTCCCTCAGAGCTCTCCTCCCAGTGAGCGAGGGGCACAGCCCGGCCCCAGCCACCCCCCGCAGCTCATGGGGACACTTGCAGGACCCCTGTTCCTGGGAAAGAGCCAGGCTGGGGTGAGCCTGGGTGGTGGTGGGGGGGAGTGGGGTGACATCAGGCTCTCCTGAAGCCCCGGCGATGTTGGTGGGCAGGGGCAGGCTGTGCCCAGGGTACCAGCATCCTTGAGCCCAGCCGTGCTGCTTTGGAGGAGGAGGGACGGGCCAGTAGAGGGACGGGGCGGCCGCGGGCGG